ATTTACTCGCTGGGTACGGTTCGACGTCCAAGGATTCCGAATTGCAAGTTATCAACTGAGGTAGAGTTAAGAAAAAAAGACAGAGGTACTTCAGAAGAGTTTGTTTGTAATGTTGATGGAGTCGATATATCTTCAGTAATATGGTTAGCTAACAAACCAGTCACTTTTTTATCAACATTTAAAGGCAAAAAATGCCTCTAACTGAGGTAAAATGATGGGACAGAAAGCAAAAAAAATACATACAAATTGAGTGTCCCAGCTTGATTCCAGAATATAATACCCACATGGGAGGGATAGATACCATGGACACTATGGACAACTTTATTGGAAGATGCAGAATTAGGCTAAGATCAAAAAAATGGTACATAAGACTTTTTTACCACCTAATTGACATGACGCTTGTCAACACATGGCTGTTTTATAGACGGGCACAGACCGAAACAGAGAAGTTGATGTTTCAGGTTCATGTTCGTCGCGAAATAGCAGAGTGCCTTTGTAAGGCTGACAATAGCAGTAGAAAGCGAGGCAGGCCTTCCAAGGAATCAGTTGAATTAATGCTGACAGGACAGAAAAGAGAAAACAATCTATAGTCTTCTCTCATGTACCACCCTAAGACGTTCGAACAGATTCGGTGGATCATTGGCCAATATACGATCAAACAAGACAGAGATGTAAATTTCCCTCGTGTTCTTCATTTTCTCATGTTAAATGCTCTAAATGCGGAGTACATCAATGTTTAAATAAAAACAACAATTGCTTTGTCTCATTTCATACGACTATATTTTTGAAAAAATAAACAAAAATTTTGATCCTAATTTTTTCAAATTATTTTTCCCTACATCCTTGAAGAGAAACAAGCCCAAAAAACATTTTTTTTGTTTAATTTTAAAAAATTAAGAAGTGTAGGGTTAATGTTTCATAGTCTGGGTGTCACGTTTCTGTAAAGATAAGTAAGAAAAATTAAGTTTATTAAACATTTAAAGATCTAACGCAACATATTCTGGAGAAAATTGAAAAACGGAGAAAAAAAAAAAAAGAAAAATATATAGCAGAGTCCGTAGTTATGAACATAGTTTTGGAAAATATTAAATGGTTAGGAAAAAACAGGACTGGGTGGATAAGGGTAATATACAAGGAAACCTGGCAAAAACAAAAGATACCAAGAGAAGGGGACAATAATCTTATGTACAAGAAGGGAAGACAAACTGAGTGCAACAACAACATAGCTATATGTTTGGCCCAAATCAACTAGAAAAATGTAACCGTCCGGTAGTGAAATTTGGGAACAACTTAAAAATCTTTTTAAAGTTTCGCATTTCGTATTTCCTCAATGGAGCTATTATTAGAAAGCCGCTAATCAGCTGTGTATGTTTCTTTTTTCGTTTCTTCGTTGTTTTTTTGCTGGCTTGTGCCGAGGCAGGTAAACGATTCATTTTTCTATTATACAGGGAGTACTGTAATTACCGTTTAATTTATTTCGTTTTGATTTAATAATAACTATTGTTTAACTTTTTGCGATTAAACAAAGCAATTAAAAATTCATTTTCTATTATACAGGGAGTACTTTATTTACCGTTCGATTTATTACTTTTGACTTCATAATTATTATTGTTCGACCGTTGTATTTAAACCATTATTAGAAAATTCATTTTCTAGTATTGTAACTAGCGTTTGATTTATTTCTTTTGAAATAATAATTATTATTGTTTAACTTTTGTGTTTAAACAATTATTTAATCGCCAATTCATTTTCTAATATACAGGGAGGACGGTTATTACCATTTGATTTATTTCTTTTGAATTAAGAATTATTATTGTTCAATATTTGTGCTTAAAACGTTAACTAGTTGAAAACTATACAGGTGCCAGTGGTACCGATTTTAGTATCCCGAGTATTTTTATAATTTTTTATTTTATTTAAAAATATATTTTATTAATAATACCTGTATTTTACTTCTTTTATTTCCGGCTCTTAACAGTTTTATTTCAGGGTATCGTAGGGTACAAAGTGTGAAGCAGTATAGTTTCATTTATTATATTTTAGTGGCTACCCCATTAGCGGTGACCAGCTGGAGGTATTTTTAACTTCACTGAATCTATACTTTGAGTACACTCTGGTGTACTACGGGGTTGCGCTAGCAAAGCTGGCATACAAGCAATCCTTGTTCTAATTTCACCATCTCAGTGCAAAACACGACTTCCCCCTTCACTACAGGTAAAGCTTGAAGCCTGTTATAACATTTACAAAGTAAAATACACCAAAGTAGACCACAAAATATCTATGAATTTACAGAATACATACCTACAAATCGGGATATCATTGCGCAAACGGAAGTTTGGGAAGTTCAGTGATCATTTACCTCACTGTGTTGTAGATGTTTGGTAGTGTTTGAGAGTGTTTAATAGTGTTTGATAGTGTTTGTAAATGTCTAACAGTGTTTGGCAGTATTGGACTGTGTTTGATAGTTTCTTACAGTATTTGACAGTGTTTGACGTTGTACAATCCTGAATAACTTAAATTTATTAATATGATGGGATGGATAATGGACATTTGAAATGATGAATAAGATTAACTATATTTCCATTTAAAAAAATCAATGATGACATCACCGCGTCAACACAATGGCGTCGCGAATAAAAGGAATATCTGACGGAACGTGCATTTGAAAATAAAGCAGAAATAACGAATATAATAATTTCATTTAAATCCATCACCAGATAATAAAACAATACGTTTGTAAATTTAAATACCTCAGAATTACTTTTTTTAAGTTTAAATTTCATTTTTTTTTTAAATATATTCTTTGGCAACTAATAGGACTAGAAATATTATGGTGAAACTATATTTATATTTAATTAAAATTGTTAAATATACTGACGAGTAATTTTCTCAAAAAAGTTGGTAGCATATCCAAAAAAGTTTGTTATTAGTTTTAAATGATTACCTAGAAGGTAGAAATATGTATAAAGGTTTCTTGATATGCTACCTTATTGTACACTACATAACTTTCACAACTTATACAAGAGATTCATAGGTACGGAACAGAATATATTAAATATAGATTCCTATTTTTAGGTTTGACTTTAAACTACGAGTATGTACTTTGTTCTTAGAGGATATATCTTAAACAAAGTAGGGCCATTTTCAGTATAACAACCTTCAGTGATAATTTCGTTTGCAATAATAAAAATCTAAAAAGTTTTTATAAAAAATGTCATTTCAAATTTTAGTAGTATTTTATATTTTTAAATCAGAACCAATGTTCCACATTTTAGACAATCTGATCAATAAATTGTTTATGAAATCTCTTGAGTAAGTTGCAGCTTAACTCTTTTGTATATTACAATAATGTGATATGTATGATATTACAAAACTAAAAAATATCTTTGGAGAATTGCACGATTAGGTACTTCAAAAATTGCACATTTAAAATTATGTATGGCCAAATTGTTGGTTTCGACATACGTCGGTTAAGTGGCGCATGTCTATCGCTTAAGTCACTTATTAAATATCTATGAAAATCTGTACACATTTACATAAAGCTGACGCTAAAAAGTATTAATTACAGATTTTAATCCTACATACACCATCATATCTTATATGATGGACAAAATCACAGATTAAACATCTAAAGTGACTGTAACTGTACCGTATTTAATGATTTTTTTTAAATTAATGCAAAATAATAGAAAGAACTAAACAATTAAAAATAATAAATTAGTTTAAAATTAAATTTATAAAATATTTTTTAAAGTATGTGTTTCCCCTAATGTCAAGTAATACATTTTATTTTAATTAGTTTTAAATTAATACATTTTAATTATTATTAATTCATTTTATGATTTATTTTTATTATTTGTAAAGAAACTAATTTTAAACTAATGTGAAAAACTTTTACTCTTGTTAAAGAAGGAGTTTTTTCGCTGATTATACAAGGTGTTTCATTCAAAATAACCCATAATAAATAGATATTTTATAATTTATAACTGAGATACTTTGTTTTATTAATTTTTCCTATTTTTTTCCAACCCCATATATTTAACATTTGGCACTATTTTCCATAGCATACTGAATTTACTAAGCCATCAATAAGACACATCCTGTATATAATAACAATAAATAAATGGTGTTTAATTTGGTTATAAATATTTATTAGTGTAACGTTCGAATAAGCAAATTAATACAACATACAGAGTGTCTCATTAAGAATGGGCTACAGAAAAATTGAAGTTTCTCTGATGAAAAATAAGACGATTAAACGAAAAGAAAAAATATCGGTTTCCGAAATACAGGGTGTTAAAGTTAAAAATTCAAAAATTAATAATGGCTATAATTTTTTTATTCTCTAATTTTACTAAATTCGGTAAATAAACTTTACCAGTGGCGTACGATACGGATAAGTAACATCTTTATCCCCATTTAATTTTACGTCACTGTCCAAAACCTAATTTGGACTATACTTTTATATTTTTTGATATTTTTTAAATTAATTATGTACTGTTGTTGGGAACTTATGAAGTGATTGGTTTTCGAGATTTTGTAATTTTGTATTTTTTCGTAAATTCCCTACGAGATTACATAACTGATTGGAAAATCTTAAAAAAATTCAAAATTATAGTTCTCGCAATGTTCCGACATTTTCCAACAATTTTCCCCAAGTTCCTCTATTTCCCCCTAATTTTTTCATAATTTCCAACATTTCCCCACATTTTTTTTCATACACTTCTAGCATTTTCCCCACATTTCTCTACAATTTTCCTAAGGAATTTCCCCCAAATGCGTAATTTTTTAAAAAATATTTGGGGATAATTATCACAAAAAAATGAATAATTTTTCTAAAGAATGGGTAATTTTATGTAATGGGGCTAATTTTTCTATTGAAAATTGAAGTAAATAGTTCAAAAAAGAAAAAAAATTGTATGTAAAAATAGCAAAAAAATGAAGAAAAAAGTATAAAAATTGGAAAAAATAAAAAAAAATTGTAAAGGGAGAAACAATTGAAAAAAAAAATAAAAAAAATGAAAAATGTATAGGTTTTGGAAAGTGGCGTAAAATCTAGAAGGGATGAAGGTTACTTAGTCATGCTGTACGCCACTGGCAAAGTTTATTCAACTGATTTTTTTTGTTGATAGGTGTATTTTATCACATTAAAAACGTGTACTAACTATAATTTTATAAAAAATCTAAAATTATAGAATTAATTATAATGATGAAACCAATCACTTTATAAGTTCCCAACAAGAGTACTCAATTTGTTTAAAGAAATATAAAAGTATAGTCCAAATAAGTTTTTGGATAATGACGTAAAATTTAGAAGAGATGAAGGTGTTACTTATCCATGGCGTACGCCACTGGCAAAGTTTACGTAACTCATTGTTTTACTGATAAGTGTATCTTAGGATGCCAACAATGTTTACCGAATTAAGTAATATTGTACTAAGAATTAAATAAATTATAGTCATTAATAATTGTTCAATTTTCAACTTTAACACCTTGTAATTATTTATGTAAGAATGCTTCGTTTAATCGTCTTATTTTTAATTAGAGAATATTCAGTTGTTTTGTTTGCCGTTCGTAATGAGACACCCTGTATATTAGATCCTAAAAATATGAATAAATTTTTTTTTAGTTTTTTCTATTATTTAACGTTATAATAAAATAACGGTACAGTACAGTAGTAGGTAAATTTTTCTACATTTGGCTGAGTCTTTGGTATATTTTTATGTAGTCCAACCAATGTTGGACAACACTGACCTCATTGGTGGTAATAACCCACCACTTGGTCCAATCTCTTGGTTATGCCTAACTATTTGGCCAGTTTGATCCAAATTGATGCCAATCTGGCCATGACCGTGGAATGGCTGCAAGAGCTTACCCTCTTCTAATAAGTTACTTTGTACATCTTTGGAATATGTGACTACCGGAAGAGAATTAGTACTTCCGGTTGTCTGGCACTATGAGACTATGGGTCGCAGTTCTGTGTGTTGGGTTTCTTTGTGTCTTCTCAGGTCCACTTTTCTTTGGAATGCCCGCCCGCAGAGATCGCAGGCGAAGGGTTTGAAGCCTGTGTGCTTCCTGGAATGCGTTATTAGGTTTGATGACTGGCTGAATGCTTTACCACAAACAGTACACTTGTGGGGTTTCTCACCTGTAACATAAAAGGAAATAAATTGTTATTTTGTGATCAATTTCTTCTGCATAATTTAATCATTGCTTTATATTTTAATAATTTTAATAATTTTAATTCAATGTCTATTAAAAAAATATTTAAAATTGTCACAAAATTTTGCGGTGTGGAAATATTGTTATAATGGATAAACTTCCTAAGGCACATAGGATCCAATCAATCAATCTTTTATCCCGTATCCCAGCTTGGAAAAATAACGTCTCTTCCAAACCGAACTATAATCGCGGAGAATGAAAGATTTATTTTATGACTCTTCCAAAACTCTTAAAAACAAGAGGGTATAGAGACAAGTTGAGAACTTTTAGATCATCATCAGATAATCTATCATGATAACTACGCTTTTGAAGAACTCAGTGTAGCTTAAGGATATATGTTCTGTTTTATTTTAGTATCTGATTTTTGTTATGAAAAATTTATCTATTTTTACCAGGCAAAAATTGACAATGAAGATATATGGTAAACATGAATTAATATACAATGTGTTTTTAACAGTTTTGGTTGTTTCAAAGAGAATATAAATTAAAACAGCGGTTAAAATCATCAACAGACATAATTTAAATACAATAAAATAACAATTACTTACAGTTTAAGTAAATTCGTCCATTTAAAATATGCTTTTAATAAAGATATATTGGGAATGTTTATTAACGATAAAAATCCTATTTCTTCAGAATTAAAAGATCTACGTTCTATAACAGTATTCAAAATTTTGATACAGTCAATTAAGTCACATATAAAACAACATTTACCCAAATATTATATTTTACCAATGGTTCAATAAGGTTTTAGAGCAGGTTTTAGTTCTGGGACTGCCGGACTACAGTAGTCTTTTATGTATTAAGCATGATTTTTATTTGCAATATTGTCATCGTACATAAGATGATATTGTATTACATTGGCCTATTTCAAGGAGCTACAAACCTTTTTAAATATTACTTTAAAGACATGACATAATAAAGATATATAATTAAATATTGTAGAAAAATGCATTCTTTTGGGGGTTGTGATTGATAATAAACTAAGGTTCTCGGATCATGTAACTCTTATCCTGTAAAAAGCCTATGGGAAACTCATTGCTAACCACAGTGATGACGTTTATAGTCCTTACCTTTTTTAATATCTGTTGTTAAAAGATTGTAGGAGTTGCAAAATTCTTATCTATGATTTTTATACTATTACTAACAAATTGAGATATAGATCGGATGTCCAGAATGTAGATATTAGAAGGAAAACATTATTTAAATTAATTAATATCTCTATTTCAAAGACCGCTTAGATGTTCACCTGATAACGCAATATAACTAACCGATGGACCAATTTAAAAGTATGCACCAGGGGCATGCGGACCATGGAAGCGGGGGAAGTACCGCTTCCCTACACTTTGAGATTTAAAAATAAATATTTTTCAGTTTACAATGCATAGAAATTAATAGTGTAATAATAATAATAACAGGACATTATTCATCACTTAAAAAGGAAAATATACAATAACAGTAATTTATGCGAGAATTGGGTACTATATTTTTTCTGAAACATTACATAAACTTAGTAAATGTACTAACAATTCATTGGCGTAATGTGTAAACGCACGCACCACCCATGAGAAAATTAATTTTGTAAACGCACACACCATATAGGTACATCAAGTCCGTCGGCGGAAGCGCTTCTTGAAAAAGCCGGCTCATCTTTCAATTGATTTCGCTTCGTGTTATTGACCCTGCTTTGCCGCGACACAGTAGTCAGTCTGTCATGACACGTGAAATACAGTCGAGAGGCAGTGATTTTTACGTTGCCTTACGCATATTGCAATTCACACGCGAATCGACGTATGAGGAAAATCGTAGACTTCAGATAGATTTCGGTTTGTTTTTCATAGTTGTTTTTGTTTTTGTAAAATGGAGGAACTATGCTCTGTGCCTGTGAACAATAATAATGTGGTAAATTGTGTCTGTATTGTGTGCTCTTTATTGAAAAAAAAATTTTTTTCAAGTAGACATTTTGAAGGGAAAACTGACATTATTAATTCTAGTAGTAGAAAAGTTAGAAAAGAAATTTACCAGGCATTTTCACGTAGGGTTCTATGAAAAGTATGAATGGTTAACCGGCTGTAAAACTTTGAAGAAATTGTTTTTTTGGCCTTGCCTACTTTTTAATATAGCCGAAAAAACACATTGAAACTCACTTGAATAATTTCCACAAAAGTGTAAAACGTGCTACAATTAACGAAAAAACATTCGGGACCTATCGCATTCAACATAGTTTGGACAATCATTTATAAATAAGCAACAAAATTCACAATGAAAGGGTAAAAAAAATAGGAACGTCTTACAACGATTAGTAGATGTAACTTGTTTCCTGGGAGAGCATGAAGTAAGTTTTAGGGGTCACAATGAAGTAAGTAGATCCGCCAATCGAGGAGATTACATGGACCTTCTAAGTTTTTTAGCAAAATACGATGATACCCTAAAAAATCATTTTATTGATTCGACGACTTTCCGAGGAACCTCAAACAGAATCCAAAATGATTTAATTAAATGCACTGCCGACGTTGTGATGGATCACATTAAAAGTAAAATTTAAAAAGCACGATTCGTATCAATTGCGGTTGATGAAACCACAAATGTAGCAAACTTAAGTCAATTATCCATTGTTGTGCGATATGCGTATTGGATGGTATTCTTCAAGAGCGATTCTTAAGGATTTTTGGACGTCACTAGCGAACGAACTGTAGATGCATTGTTTAAAATTGTTTGTGGTTCTAAGCTTGTTGCCCAAAGCAACGATGGTGCTGCCGTAATGGCTGGCCATTTAAGAGGCCTTCAAGCTAAAGTGAAAGAGAAGTTTAAACATGCAATTTTCGTTCACTGTATAGCACATAGACTTAATTTGGTTTTATCGCGAAGCATGGATAATATTAAAGATTGCAAAGTTTTCTTTTCGACGCTTAGTGGTTTGGCTTCCTTCTTTTCAAAGTCATCGAAAAGAACGCGCGCTTTGGACATTCACGTTCAAAAAATGTTTCCAAAAGTTGCTCCGACGTTTAGTGTAAACAGTGTTTCAATACCGTGGTTCTTTGATACTCTTTTTTCAAGACGTTTGGGTTAATAAAGAAACATGAGATGCTGAAACTGTTACTGCTGCTAAAGGGTATTTGCATTGTCTCAAATAAAATTTTGATTTCAATTTTTTGCTCAACATTTTTGCAGAGATTTTCCCTTTTACTGACATTTTACAGACAAAGTCAAATGACATTGGCTTTTGCATTAAACAAATTGATGATTTTAAAAATAAAATGAATAAAAAACGAGATTAGTTTAAACACTTTTGGAAAAAGACTCAAAACATTAGCTTAGAACCTGAAAGAAAGAGAATTAGAATTGATAATGTTGGTGTCGTCGATTATACGCCGAAATTTTTGATAATATTTTACAACAAATGAACTCTCGATTTCAAAGAACGACCAAATAATGGGAATGCCTTCAGACGAAATGCTTCCAAAGTATAGCTTTCAAAAGCAATGTAAAGTAAGTATACCAGACAGGGAAGCGTGGACGGGACCTCCTATTTAAGCAGATCTCACCTGGTATACAGACGGCTCCAAAACCCATGAAGGTTCAAGAGTAGGTATATATAGTACCAAGCCAAAGACAGGAATCTCACTGAGCTTAGGTAAACATGCGACAGTATTCCAGGCAGTAATAGCAGCAATACATCACTGCGCAAAAGAAGTATTAAGACAGAAGGTAAATGAAAAAACCATTGTCATATACTCAGACAGTCAAGCGACGTTAAAAGCACTCAGTTCCATGCAGGTACACTCAAAGCTTGTGTGGGACTGTTTAGAAGCCCTAACAGAGCTGGGTAGTCAAAACAGACTAACCTTAGCCTGAGTACCAGGCCACAGGGGACACAAAGGCAATGAAGAGGCTGATTTACTAGCTCGAGAAGGAGCTTCAAATGCTGTTATTGGCCCAGAACTCTTCTGTGGTGTAACAAAAACAACTATCAGAACATGCACAAAGCAGTGGATGTTTAAAAAATCTCAGGAGTGGTGGGAAAACTCACCAGGACAGAGACAGGCCAAAAAGTTCTTAAAAGGACCATCGTCTAAACTCACCGAGCATCTACTAAGCCTTAATAGGAAAAATACTAGAATACTAGTAGGTCTATTAACAGGGCATTGTAGGCTTAACAAACATATGTTCAATATCGGTCTGACAGAAGAGGCCTTGTGCCGATTCTGTCAAGAAGAAGAGGAAACGGCAGAACACGTATTGTGCTACTGCGAAGGTCTAGTAAGACTGAGATTTCTTACACTTGGAGAAGAAAAACCAAGGGCAACTAGCTATACCGGAGAACTACTTCCCAGTCTATGGAGTCTACTACAAAAGACCGCATTAGACAAGGTACTCTAAACAATGATTAAAGGATATCCACAATAGATCTGAAAAGGTCGAGGTGGGGGAGGCCACATGGCCCATAGTCCTAATTAAATCTAATCTAATCTATGCATGGTATCACTGAGTTTACCTTGAGTGCACTCTGGTGTACTGTAGGGTCGCAGAGCAAACTGGCGCCTGAGCAACCCCTATTTGGGAACCACCATTACAGCGCCATACAGACTCGCTGATTCACTGTAGGTGAACCAGGATCCTGTCACACTACGATGTCTCTAAAGGAACGTTTCTGGAATGATTTCTCAAGAACATTTTAGAAAAATTTTATTTATGTATAGGTATTCTATTTTCGTTTTAAATATTATTTTGAAATACAATAAATTATAAAATTACCAAATCCTCAGAAATCTACAATAATATCAAACTCCAATATTAAATTTTAACATTTTGAACAATATTTTTATTTCACAAGGCAACTGCTACAGGTCAAATTTATCTTATTAGTTCCTACAAAAAGAGTGCAAAGCAAATACGACAGAGATGAATATCCTTCCTTCTGGTTCA